TTTAATGTATCAAATCTGTTCTTCAGATGATCTCTAAATTCAGGTGGGATATATTCAAGATCATATTTTGGCTCTCATGGATTTGTTTTCATTTTCTTCAGATTCAGTTTGAATTTGCATATGAGTAATTCATGGTCTGTTCCACAGTGTGCCCTGGCCTTGTTTTCACTGATGATATGGAGCTTTTCCATCACCTCTTTCCACAGATATAGTCAATCAGATTTCTATGTATTCCATCTGGTGAGGTCAATGTATATAATCTTCTCTTATGCTGTCTAAAGAAGGTATTTGCATTGAACAAATCATTGATTTTGCAGAATTCTATCATAAGTTCTTCAGCACCATTTCTATCACCAAAAGGCCATATTTTCCAACCACTGATCCTTCCTCTTTGCTGCCAACCTTTGCATTGCAATCACCAGCAATGATCAATGATCAATACATCTTGATTGCATGTTTGATCAATTTCTAATTGAAGAAGTTTGTAGAATTCTTATAATTCATCCTTAAATATTCTAGCAGGCCTCTTCTAAAATTAAGGGCAAAGTTTTCATTAACGGCAAGACTATTATCATACCTTACAAAATTAATGATAATTTCATAATATTGGTCATCATTCTGTCCATATCGACAGGTCCCTAATTATTAAAAAAATATTGTGTATCCTTTATGTATCTTGTTATTTAGGGACATGAGGACAGGCATGGACCAGTATTAATTTGAGGTTCTTGCATTACATTTGGTTGTTATTCTGAAGATTTCGATAACTATAATCTTTTTCATTTACTTTCTAGTATCTTACTCTATATAGACATTTGTAGAGTAGCTTTCCCCAAGTTTAAAGGCATCTGTCACTCATTCCTTGTACACTATTTGGTGAGTGTCTTGACTTGGTTGCTTGGAAGTCTCTAAGTTTTCTGGGTTTATGGCATAGGATAGAATAAGGAACCAAAGCTTATTCAGACTTGAAGGAAAACAGACCTTTATATATTATGATAAACATAGAAGACAGACTATATTTATGTCTTTCAATATTTATTCAGACTTCAGACTATCAACCTGAGACACTTAATAAGGAAATATTTCAGTAAATGCTTTGATCTGGGATGGACTAGAACTAACATCAACATTTTGTTAACATCCATTGTCCCAGGTGTTACATATAAATGACTTGGACTCAGACGTCACAAATATCAATCAAATCAGAAACCTTTCAAAGAAACAACTGCCAAACTGGTTGTTAATACATTTTAGGAAAAACAGCCATTATTTCTTTAGGCTTTCTCTGTCAATTAAATATTTGACCAAAGTTATCCTCTTAGACATCATTACTTCTTGTAGGAATTATTCTCCAGGAATCTAGAGCTGTAGTGTTTTCTACATTTATTATGGCGCTATTTGATAAATGAACTCTTGTTGTGGTGCTGTAGGATTCGCACTGGACTGTGAATGCCAAGTGTGGCAGTTCAAACCCACCGGTTGCTTCTTGGAAACCCTATATAGGGTCACTATGAGTCGGAATCTACTCTATGGCATTTAACAACAACATCTGATAAATAATTTTTTTTCCTGGGCACCTTAGTTACTTTCTACCCCCCTCTTAAGTTGTCCTTTTTGTGTCTCCTTTGATTGCTTTTGGGACCTTTTAGACCATCTCCAGGCTTAGCAGCTGTAAGACAATCTGCAGCCTCATTTCCCACACATGTAGCCACTTATATATTGTATTTTATCTTGATGCCACTCTGGAGTTCTTCTGTGAGAGAAAGTAAAATAATCTTGCACTCAGATAATCTTCCTCATATAGCTTCTTCCTTATAAGAAAAGTGGGGCAGGAACACAGAAACATTTAAGAACTTTTAACTTTCCATCCAACTTTTCTACTCCTTCAGTCATAAGAAGTCTTTATGAAGTAATTTGTGTGTGATTTGTTAAGTATTCTTCCATATTTATCTTTTTGTTCTAAGTCCCATAGGATGTGGACTTTTGAACTGCAATAACCTTTTCTTTGTTCCTGCCACATAAACAGAAGAAAACACCTTTCCCAACATAAACGTATGACCCAGAAAGCAGTGGGATAGATAATAGGAGAGAGATACTTAGGAAACAGCATTAGTTAGTCTGAGTTAATGCCTTAGTTTCCTAGGGCTGCCATAACAAAATACCAGATAGCAGGTAACTTAAGAGATGGCAAACATTCTTTCTCACAGTTCTGAAAAATAAAAGTCCAAATCAGGATCTTGTCCATGTCAATTCATTCTGGTTTCTGACAATCTTTGACATCACTTTGTTGAGTATGGATCCATCTGCCTCTATAATCACATGATTTGTGCATTCCCCTGCACGTCATTTACTTTTTGTAAGAAGATATTATTCAAGAGGAATTAATACTAGGGCCTACTCTCTTCCTATATGACCTCGTTTGATCTAAGTGATAATAAAATAAAGCTCCATTTCCCCAAACATGGTACACAGGGACAGAGATGAGGACTTCTACATACTTAGGGGGAGGACACAATTAAATCAATAACAAGATCATTAAAGATGCTTTGTCCTGTCCCACAACCTTTCAATATTAAAGCATATGAACAATGATCTAGGAAAAAATACTATGAAGACTAGATTCAGTATATATATTGAATTGAATCTCTATTTTTTTTTTAAGTAATCACTTTCAAGTAAAATCTAGCTACATATTAACTTATGCTTTTATGTTGTACTCATATTTTCACAGTATCACCAAAAATAAACATAAAAATCTACATAAAAAAGATACTGAGTATTTTTAGGAAGTAATAACAGAATGGAAAGTTTGAATAGTGGGCTTGGAAACAAAGTTAATTTAAAAAAAAGAAAGTAGTGGGAATGATTTATGAAACATGGGAGAAGACCTGGCTATCTGCTCCCATAAATATTACAGCCTAGAAAAACCTATGGGGCAGTTCTAGTCTCTCCTATAGCAATGTTGTGGGTTGGAATCAAGTCAGTTGCAAAAGGGGTTTTAAGGAGGATAATGCAACATAGAGATGAATTATTCTTCCAAAATACTGGTGTATTAGCACCTTACTATTGTAGGGAATTCTGTGAAGCTGACCACAGATATTGATGAGTGTACTTTAAATAGATGAAATTGTATTTTTGACAAGTAAATCCATTGCTTAATAAACTTTGCATGAGGATATTCCTTGTTTTGTCAAAAGATAGATATTATTTTATGCGATGCAAATAAGCAGAAAAATTATACCAACAAATGTATTTTTAACCTTTCCTTTTCTTTCACAGGAGTATAGTAATCTAAAAACTTCATTGGTCATTTTGTATTTTTTTTAATTTCAGCTTGATTTTTTTCAGCTTTAATATGAACTTCTCTTTTTCAGCAGACTCTGCCTACTTCAGGAGTTTCAGTTCCTGAGGTGCGTAAGCAAAAAAGGTTTTCACATTTATAATGAAAGGTTGTTATATATTTTATATATAGTAACTATAAAGAACATTTTGGGTTGGCTCAGTTACCTACTAATGCATATTTTATTTTTCCATGAAGTGGGTTCTTTAGCTTTTCAGACTTGAGCCAATTCCAATCTATATTTGTGACAAGTACTATAAAGCAAGAATTTATATAACCCAAAGTACGTCCAGTGAAAAATAAAGATCAATTTCCAAAGACTTTAAGTCTATGTATAAAAATGCTGTTGTTGTTTCTCATGTTAAACTGTATATCTGTTGCAGAAAATCCAATATAATTCAATCTTTTGAACTATCAAAATGTAGCTTTCCATGATATTATGTTGGTGAGAAACTTGCTCACTTTAAAGTGCCCATGAGTTTTTTTTTGTTTTTTTTTAAAGTGATAAGCATCAATCATGTAGCACATGACATTGGAGAGAAAATCTTTGGACTAAATTATAGTCACAGAATAAATAGCTTTTACTTAGAAAATAAATAAATGTAGACATTGCCAAAGCATGTATTTTCCAGTAAAGTGTCAGCATTAGCTTTGCAGTTATGAACCAATTTTCTATATTTTTTTTGGTGGAGATATCCTAATCTATTGTTCTTATTTCTACACAAAATGCCCAAATGATATTTTTTCCCTTAACATTATAATTTAATTGAGGTTTTTGGGTAAAATATTATTTAAAGTATATGATTAGTGCATTAGTGTTAGATTTATTTTAGGATAATATAATTGCACAAATGTGTAAACCCATCTCCTAAAAATCATCATATTAGTGCAGATGGCCTCATTGGATTGTTTTTAAAACTATACAAACAAGCATACAAAACATACTTTATAACTAGATATTTACTTTTAAATATACTAGAAATAAATTTCTAAATGAAATATTAAGCTACTTTTGTATATTTTATTCAGTTGATGCCATAATTATCATGATTATTATAAAAATGAGATGCTAAATCTCACCCTCAAGATCAAAAGTATTAAGAAGTACATCATTTAATCAATCTAATTATTTAAGTTTGATAATTAATTTCATATCTTCAAGTTTGTGTGTGTGTTTTGTTTTTCTCTATGATAGTCCACCAAGTGAACATAATCAGTGCATTTGAGATTTTAAGTTTTCTTTTTGGACTAGTTATCCTCCAAAAGTCTCCCATATTTAAGCCAAATAATTTATGCCATTTAATTTAAAGAAACAGAACAAAATTGTTTTCATACTGTGCTCTCTTATTTTGTTAAAAGTTTATTCTTTTTTATATATATATATATATATATATATATATATATATATATATATAGTTGTTGCTGTGTGCTGTCGAGTCAGTTCCAACTCATAGTGGCCCTGTATAGAGGACTGCTGGTGAGTTTGAATGAATTACTGACCTTGTAGTTCAAACCGACCTTGAGGTCAAATGCTTATCCTAATGTGCCACACCAGGACTTATATATATATATACACACACATATATATCAGAGTCCTGGTGTGGCACTGTGGGGTTAATGCGCCAGACTGCAAAGCCAGTTGAACTGTTTAACACATATATATATATGTGTGTGTGTGTGTGTGTGTATGTGAACACTTAAGAAGGGACTTCAGAAAATTTGTGCACAAATTCCATTATCTTTTAAGTCAGGTTTTCCATAATCTTTTGAAGCTCCCTTGTATGTACATGAGCATAGAAAAGAAGCCTTATGTTTCACCATCAGAACACTGTGGTGGTGGTGGTTATGTGCCGTGGAGTCAGTTCTGAATCATAGAGACCCTGCACAGGGTTTCCGAGGCGGTGCTCATTAGTTATTGGGCAACTTTTTATAGTCTATGTGGCAAAGGCCTATAAAAAATATTCATATCTTAAAAATGTTATTTGAAGTATGTACATGTACATTTACTGTGTGTACTATTCGTGTAGGATCAAGGAGTTTTCTGTGAAGAACGATCCAGTCATTGAAAGGGCATGTATTTTTTCTTACATAAATAATACTCATTTCACTTGCAATTAAAGTGTAAAAAATCTCAAGGGTATCTGTGAAATAACTTGAGTGTAAAAATACTCCTAATTAATTATTTAGTCCAAAAAGGTTTTACAATTATAGCCAAATCTAATCTAATTCATATATAAATTCACAAAATACAGTCATGAAATTCATTGTGACTCATGGCGACTTTATGTGTTCTGACCTGGAGAGGTACCATCAAGTTTTCAGGGTGTGATTTTTCAGACGCAAATTGCTATACCTGTCTTCCAAGTTGTCTCTGGGTGGTTTTGAACTGCCAACCATTACATATGTTATCTATAAATGTTGTTGCTGTTAGGTGCCTGTCAAGTTGGTTCTGACTCGAAGGCACTTAACATTCTCAAAGGCACTTAACAACAACATATACAGATATATGTTGTTAAACACCATCGAGTCAGGTCTGACTCATAGTGACCCTGTAGAATAAGAGTTATTTCTTTCCTCCTTTATTGTGTCTTTATAGAAAATGCAAGTTACCTTTCACAGAAACTCTTGTTTTATTTATTTATTTATTTCATTCATGATCCAGTAACACCTTAATTACACAGTTACAATCATGGGTGGAAATGGCATAAAAAAATCAGGCAATACACAGTATGTATACATGTGTACATTTATGTAGTGTGAATACTACCAGCAGAAAGAGATTAATGTGAATACAAGAGAACTTCCTCTAGTTTGTAGATCCCATTTACCACAGACATAGGTATCAATATAGTTTGCAAGGGAAATAGAGGTGGAATTTAATTGAG